CGAAATTCCAAAACAAACAAACAAACAAACAAAATCTATATCAAATATAGGCCGTACTTAATAAAGGTTAGGCTTAAGAAAAGTGAACTTATAGGTTTCGGTGTCTGCAATTAGAATTATTTTGTATTATTCTAGAAACCCTGTATTTAAAGAAGTACTGTTGCAATGAATATACTAATTTGACCGCGAATGTTTTCGGATCTCTGTTAGTTGTTAATAAATTATCACGATAATGACTATCGCCAACGCGCTGTTCGCATTGTTCGCGAGGTTCTCAGGGAACCATAACTTAAAAAATTCTCGTTACGATCCTTGCTCTAAATATTGAAGATTCATTTCGAAATGTCTCTTGCTTTTTTATTTATTTTTTGTTATATCCTAAGAAAAACTTTATACTGTATTGTTTGATTACTTGGTGTATATTTTTAACGGACAAAAGTTATACTGAACTGAAATGAATTGTCCAGCTTTTGTTTTATCAGTGATTTTACAGCTGTATTTTTTTACCATACAACTAATGTCAATACAGAAATAATTCAAGAAGCAGCTTTACTTAATATTTCGAATTAAGAGAACAATTGAAAAAAAACCTTGTAGAAGAATACATTTTTTAAATCCGACTTTCTATTTTAAATCAACTAATAATTTGAATATGAAGTAGTATGAAATAAAAAGGTTATTATATTTAATTTGGTAGAATTTTCCAGATTAAAAAACAACAACATCATAACCTTGGTATTTTGGTCAGTGACTGCAAGACTTTAACTATCCTGTTGCAGCTTTGAGCTACTGACCAATGAGAAGGCAACGTGATAGCAACACTCGCTTTCACAAGATCTTTATCCGGCTTTGAATCAAAAACCAGCGACCAAGCGACTAGAACCTTGGACCTTTGGATTCACAATTCGATATGCTAACCATCAGATCTCGCTCGGTTTTACGTGCGAAATTTTTTCTGTGCAGTTTGTGATAGATGATAAGTGATATAGTCCTTTTTTCACACACGTTTTATTGCTAATATTCAGAAAGTGTTAAAAGTTATACAATAATACTGGTGAAGCTAATTATAATTGCAATTGTTATGCGCAATACATAAACTATATAAAAACACATTTAAACTTAGACTTACTATTATTTTAGACTAATTTTACGAATCTTTTAATATGCTTATTACATATCGTTTTGAAACAGCAGTGTACTTTATTGTCTACTCTTACAGAGTAAATTAGATTTTTCAAAACATCCATTGTCCACGAAGTTAAAAAGCTAGTTAACTACAGAATTGTTTCTAATTGTTGATCGTTTTTTTGATGAAAGTTAATAATCCCTACACATAATATAAGCACAGTACTTGTATAATAAATCTACAAATACTGTGCTAATAGCACGTTGGTCTAAATAATCCAAGTTACATTTAAATGGTGAAATCCATTTAAACTATGATACTTAGAAAAACATGGGAAACTATTAACTCCTCCTGCTGGCATCAATTTCACAGTCTGCAGAATTTCTTGCTTGTTATCTTCACATTAACACATTAGTTTGCAATGAAAGCCAGAACTGCCACAAAAACATCTGCTGATAACTGCAGTTCAATTATAAAACAAAATAAAGAAGCTACATAGTTAGTAATATAACTAAATTATAAATGTTATGAATGAACTAAAGTCCCGACAATCAACACGGGAAGAGAAATTTATTGTTGAAAAATTATAAAATAGGCTTAACCAAGGTATGTATTTCATAATTGGTAAACAACCTTGATTTCCACAACGCTGTATTCATCCATTGTACTGAGAAATAAATTGTTCTGCTTGTCTCTGTGTAATCAAACCTAGAGAACATAAAAAAAAAATAGATAATCAATTCGTCCTTCATATGCAAACATATATTTCATTTGAATACAAGAGAATGTTCTGTTTATATAATACATTATCACTGTCTGAAGGTTAAGAATCATATAATATAATACATTATCACTGTCTGAAGGTTAAGAATCATATAATATAATACATTATCACTGTCTGAAGGTTAAGAATCATATAATATAATACATATAATACATCACCACTTTCTAAAGGTTAAGAATCATATAATATAATACATTAATAATAATACGTATAATACATTATCACTGTCTAAAGGTTAATGGTCAGATCATTAGTAGTTAACAAACAGTTTGTTTCTTAACTTTTGTACACCAGTGTATTATCACATTTTAGTAAATACTTTGAAACTTACGATACCGAGAACTTCCGCAAATACAACCAGACAACCGTGGCCATTAGTAAAATGAAGAGTATTCACTCCCCACAGCTTACTAGGATTAAGAATTCATGAAATGTTTAACAGCTCCCCACAGCTTACTGGGATTAAGCATTCGTGAAATGTTTAACAGCTCCCCACAGCTTACTAGGATTAAGAATTCATGAAATGTTTAACAGCTCCCCACAGCTTACTAGGATTAAGAATTCATGAAATGTTTAACAGCTCCCCACAGCTTACTGGGATTAAGCATTCGTGAAATGTTTAACAGCTCCCCACAGCTTACTAGGATTAAGCATTCGTGAAATGTTCAACAGCAAGATCTACCCATAGAATATATAATTATAAAGGAAGGAAGTGAACAACTGTGGAATTTAACACTAAACGAAATGATTCGTTCTAAGTGTACTTATTAGGTCTTGAAGGATCCAGTCAATGGTAAGAAGTTTACGTTTACGTTTTCACAGAAACTTTTGACTTTCAGATCAATATCTCACACCAGAAAATTTTAACAGTCTAGTCAGTTATCAGAGACACATCTTAACCTTACTGTATCTTAAAAAGTCTTCTGAGATGAAGAGGAAGATACTTTCAGAAAGTAAAGTTTGGAGAATGTGTTAATATTTTGTATCCATATTATATGAGGTGAAACGAGGATCCGAACCCGCAACCCGTAGATTGCGAGTCGAGCGCCCTAACAGTTAATGTATTTTGTAGAAATTATGGTTCACCTCTCCCCCACTTGGCGCCACTACATATAAACATATTGCCAATTGAGATGAGAGAAAACAAACTTGGAACAGTGATGTACAAGAATGTTTTTGTTTTTTTATGTGAAGAAGACATTATTTTATTTGTTTCAAAAAAAGAACAAATGTTTATTCTCCTACAGCTACCAAAAGCAGTAGGTCTGGCGCTGTAGAACATTCTGTTCGGAACTTTGTTGGCCAGGCCAAATCATCAGGTAAAGTACTTTATTATACAGTTCTATAAGATAATTGGTTTATAGCCACTAATTTATTACAAAAACATGCTCGCCCTTTCAGCCGTGCGGGCGTTATTATGTGACGGTGAATCCCACTATTCGTTGGTAAAAGAGTTGGCAGTGATGATGACTAGTTGCATTCCCTCTAGTCTTACACTGCTAAATTAGGGATGGCTAGCGCAGATAGCCCTCGTGTAGCTTTGCGCGAAATTCAAAAACAAACAAACCAACAAAACAAACATTAACTGTTGATGATGTAGCATGTTTCGAGCTCATACATACATTGTAATAACTATGTAAGAGCCAGAGGGTTATGAGGAACAAAAAATGTAAAGCAATAGCAACCTCTTAAAAAATGTCTCTTGAGTGTTTATGTATGCTATATGCTCTTGGAACTCGAAACGAGCAAGTATAAATGCAGTTTTTCTCGACGTTCTCCATATTTGTCTGCTGGGTTTCCTTAGATGTGAAGACGTATTCTAGAACGTCAAAGACTGGCGTAGAGCATAACTGTCAAATGATGTATTTTTTGTTTACTTTTTAGAGTAAAGTTATACAATAGCTTGTATGTAATCTGTTGACCGCGATGAATCAAACTTCGGATTTTAGTATCCGTAAATTTACCACTGACTCACCGGGGATCTATGTAGTAAGCACGAAGCAAAGAGTTTAGTTCCAGATATTCATAGCTCCTAAGTCAGCATTGATGCGATCTTGACTTTGAGTTACAGTATTTATCTATAGTGTTCACCATTTCATTAGCATGTTTATAAAGTAGTTAATTAATCTATGACGCTGTTTATTAGTTCGGTTACAAGTAGCTAAGTATGTGTTTTTAAAGAGTCATGACTCTACGTCGTATATATATTCATCTTCAAATTACCGACTAGTGTTCTTATCGCTCAATAGGTTTTGCTGAAAGCACTATCAAAACGTTACATAACGATATCGTTAATTTTATACAACAGGTACTGAGTAAATGAAAACGTTTTTTGCACCTTAGCTAAATTCTCTTAACCAACAATCTATACATAATAACAAAAGGGAGTGGTTTTATTGTATCTTAATAGAATGATTTTATATACTGACGTATATGAAAAAATAGCAGACAGTCAGCTGCGTTATGTTACTAAAGGTTTCACACCTACAAATGTAGAAAAACCATGGATAGTTTCTCTGACAGACAATAACCAAACGTTAAGAAATAATCAAAGATTCTACACTTGTGTATCCCACAGAAACCTTATACATTGTAATAAATGTTTGTGTGCGTGTGTAAAACGAATACCGCTGTCCCATTTAGGAACTGTAATAGATGTAACCATCAATATATTGAATAAACCACAGTGATAATAAAACAATAAATCATAGGTATATGTATATTTAACTCCGTATATTGCATCGTTTTAAGTGATATTCTCAGCTGGTTTCTAATGGAACAAAACACAGGTACTGATGTGGAAAGAGATATCAGCCACCTTGTGTACATAATGTTAACTGTTGTTGTCGAACAATGGCAGATAAATGCCATTACGTTTATGTGTAGTGAGAAATATTCTCAAAGATTCGTTATAAACATTTATAACTGAAATATTCAGAACTTTTAGTTCGCTGTTGTATACTTTTACGTGACAACCTA